GCGCTATCCAAATAAATAAATATAAATTATTAATAACCTAGCAATTCATTTAATTGAAAATAAAAATATATTTTATATATTTTACAATAAAGCATATATTTCACATTTGGAGGGCCCGAGTTCGATTCCTGGTACTTGCAGTTTCAAAAAATAATTATTTACGAATAATTAAATACAAGAATTGTTTCCAAGACCACTGATAATGGGTATTTGGCAATACTCGAAACAGCTGTATGGTCAGCCAAAAATTCAATTAAAATAATATAAAAAAAAAATTTTTTTTTTGTTGTTGTAGTTCACTACAGTTCGAAAAACCTCTTTATTTCACAATATATAAAAATATTTTACTAAACATGTGTTTCGCTTGAGAAAAGCCTGAAAACTATGATGTTTATGACTACATATATTATTGAACCAAAATGATTCTATCATGACTCTATATGACTTGGTCATGACTCTATATTATTGAACCTTAATATATTTTTCATAAAATATGTTGATCAGGATTATATTATTGAACCATAAATATGTTTTTCATAAAATATGTTGGTCAGGATTATATTATTAAATCATAGTCATAAACAAATTTTGTTGTTTGCACAAAGCGAAATATTTCAGAAAGGAAAATTAAAAATTGTTAACAAATTTTTGTTATGGAAAAAATGTATCTTTTCATAATAATAAATTAATATGAAAAGTTCAAAGCATTGAAATACATAAATATCAACGAAACATATAATCGTAACTCATAATGAAATACTATTCACAGTAGTGATGGTCTGTTATTAATTTTATATATAAATTTGTGTGAACCTTCACTGTTGACGACAAAATCTAAGTGTACACAGTTGGAAAAAGAACTGTCGTCGCATATTGAGACGAAATCAAAAACTAAGTGGCAGATTCGATCCCATGCACATACCATACTTGCCTCCTTCACAATATGGGTTCTCTCATGGTTCTACATAGTATGTATTGCCCTTTATATGTTTACGTACTCAAATAGATTCAATCAAGCACACCAACTGGCCTGTGCACATTTACAAACCCACCCATAAATAAATACGATTTGATAGTTAACAAATGGAAATGAATAGATGTGGAAACACAAATCTATTTTTTATTTGTTTCGATACTGTGTTCTGTGATTTCTCCTGTGGTTTTGTTTATATTCCATCATTCAGTGCTATTATTGCTACCTACATTTTAGCTTGCTGTCTCGTCCATTTTGGGTGGGTGGGTGTACCCACCCATATGGTATATGTGGCTACAAAAGTCTGTCACTGGGTATGACTGTCTGTCTGCAATCAATAATTTGTATACGAATGGAGGTCTTTTATTTTCATTAGTATTTCCTAGCTTGTCATTTTCTTCCACTCTGTATTCATTTATTTGTCTATATTTTTAGATATATTCTTGACAGATACGAGTTCTGTGAAGAGAGTTCTTTTAAATTTACTCAAAATATTTATTTATGTTTTTAAAGCTCCTTTCACTTTAGCAGCCGGTAGCAATTTCGTTTGGAGTTTCCTTTTATTAATATTTTGTGAAAATTTATGCTTTAAGCTAGAATTTGTAATATTTGAATTGATATATTGTGCTATGGCAAATCTATCTTTTGTCCCTTTGATAGTGTGTATTTTGTATGACTTAAAAGGTTTTGGTTATTTATTTCGGTTGCCAGCACATTGCTTTGCAATACCTAAATTGCTATCTTTGATTGTGAAAACTTTTGATTTATACATAAATAGATAAAGTAGAGATATTTAAGGAATAATCAAATATCGAAACTGAATTACCATGTGGAAATAAGTGAAATGCTTGGTATTGAAAATACTCGTAAATATGAAGGTAATATGTTGATGGTGCTGATAATGGAAACTGTAATGCAAGCAAAGAGAAGTTAGTGGTTTTGTAAATAAATTTCTGACTTTTAGGAATTAGAAAAATAAAAGCAAAGACATTGAACTAATATACATTTTTCGAAATATTAGTAACTACATTGATTTATTTGTTTGAAAATAATGGCTACAAGTGAAGTTGTTCGCTTTGGTTTGGTCGATCCATAGGCATAAACACCTACTGAATTTTGAATCTGCATTGTGGTTTTATGCATATTATAATATTACATATATTATAACATATAATAACATATTTTTAGATAACTGATTTGAATCACAGCATATGTAAAAAGATTAAGATTGATCGAAGGTATCATTTTATTAGTCAGCTATATCAAAAACTGAACCGATTCATAACATTTACAGTTTAAAGGTAACAGTTTAAAAAATAAAAGTATTTTTCTATGTAAAACATTTTTCTACATTTTATAAATAGAACTATATTGATATCTAAATCGACTGACTTTTTATTATTAAACCTATCACATTCTATAAATTATGCTTAAGATCTAAATTTGAAGTGCATACATTAGAGAATAAAAAAGATTTTCTAAGAAAAACATGTCCCCAAGTCCGCAGTTATCACCTTACAGCTAGGTACATTCTAATCTGAACTGATATGAATAAAATTTTAGGATGGTCTTTTATAAATAAAAGTACTGTTTTCCAAAACAATAAACGAATGTCTTTATTAAAAACAGAGGAAACTCATAACCGAATATATACTTTATGTGGCAATTACTGGGTATAGTCGTCCAATCTCGAGCAATCTAACGAATGATTGAGGTGCTTTTCTAAAAATTCTGTCTGCAACATTTTATAGCTTAAAAACTAAGAAACTAGTTTGATTCGAAACAAAGAGATGGATATATCGATATGAATTCAACTTGTCGACCTGATTAAGAATATATACCTAATATTCTTTATAGTATTTAGAATAGAATATATTTATGATTAAGAATTATTAGGTCCTTTAATATTTTCTTTAATGCATTACAAAAATCTTAAGAAACCTAATATACTACGAATGACTATTTTTCCTTAGACATCCTTCCACAAATTTACTTTATTTTCTCAAACGGTTTTTATTGTTGAAATATTCACAAACAATTTGATTCTTTACTTTCACGACTCAGTATAAGCAGTATAAGACTAGAAAGCACATCTTCTTGCACAACTTGTTTTTAATAAAATACTCTTTATCAGATATTCTAGTCTTCGACAGTGAAGGTATTGCTTCAAAAGCAATAATTTGTAAGTGGACTTGTGTACTTAAAAGTGATTGCAGAAACCTTGAAGACGATGTACGGGGTAATTAACAAAAGTTACCTTAAATGGCAAAAAAAAAAAAGAAATATGACCAAAACAATTTTAATTTAATAACACTTTTCTTAGCTATTTTTCTTTAATTATAATTTTTAAGCTTCACTTAAAATTTGAGAAACCTATCATGGTGATTTCTTTAATCATTTAATTATCAATAATTTTCTGGGTTCATCTTGAAATTTGGACTTTACTACGCCTATACTTATATCCTCAATCAAATAATTTAGGTGATTTCGAGAGAGTGCACCACAGAAAAATCTGCAATTTGGAATCTTCAAAGTCCGTTTGAAGCAGTCATAACCGATAATTTATTCTTTTTCATGTGCTCATGATTTATGTGGTATTTGAACTCCTTACTTTACATTTTCAAATGTGAAATTACTCGAAAATTCGTATTAACTTTTTCTTTGAAGTGCTTGAAGTTCTAGGTAGTATCGCAATACTATTGTTTAAATTTGTCAACTAAGCGAACTTCTCTTAGTCCTTTCGTATATGAAAAAAAATTGTACCCAGTCCAGAAATCAAAGACAGAACATATTAAATTTAATGGCATTTTCGATTGGTAAATCTGGATTCAATCTACTATTCATCTGCCAAACTTTGTTCCCCAATCAAACGTTTTTAGAGTGAACTAACATTTTAGTAGTGGAGATTCACTAGAGATATATATTTTTAATAAATACGTAATCGTATCAAATCACAGCTTATCTGTCAAATCATATAAAACAGCTGTTAATTTTAGGGTATCTTGTTACTCTGTCTAAATATCTAGAGTGTTTTAAATAAATATTGAGTGTTATTTATTCCACTCGAGATTTATCAATCGAAAATATAAATTACACTAAAATTGAATATCGATTGAAAAAGTTACCCAAGATTCTCCAACCAAAAACGTCAAAAGTAATATTTATTGAAAATATATTATTTAGAATTTAACACCGATAACTTTACTTAAAATAATAATTGATTAATTAAAAAAGTAATTATAATATAACAAAAATTAAATTATAATGGAAATGATGGTGATTATTTTGAATTTTTTTGTTTAATTTACTATATAATATAGTTCTGCCAATTTTTGAATCTAATGATAGTTTAATTCTTTTTTTTTTCTTTCCCATGAATGGATTTGTTCCAATTGTGTAGGTTTTTTTTTGTGTAGTATGGATGGACTTAGAAAATATTTAAAGAAATTAGTTTTTCTTTATTTCTAGTTTGAAATAATCACATATTACTTATATAAATAATCACATCTAAATTCTTTAAGTATTTCTGCTACTATGGTATACATTTTATTTGATCAGATCTTTAGGCTTATGATGATTAAGTAAAACGCTCTGTTGAATGCTTAAAGTTGAACTCGTTCCAAAACAAGAAGCAAGCATGTTGCAAGTGGAATATTTGATGTTGTATGATGGCAGCAGTGATGGAGTAATGGAGCAATGGAGTAATGGTTTTTATGAAACACCAAAATAAATTACTGCTATGATTAATTGAACTATTTATTATTATGCTATGGAATGCAAAAAAATTACATACACATATAAATTTAAATTCATACTTAATGCTCTCAAATACGCAAATTTGTGATTTACTTTAAAAATTAATTTTTGAATATAATTTTTTGTTTTTACTTATCCAAGGATTACCAAGAACATTTACACAAACGAATCACAAATATGTAAAAGATATAAAAATAAAATTGCAGGCGTTAGTAAATTTCTAGTACAAGTCAAAATGTTAACAAAGCAAATTATACTGTACCGCACGAACCTCCCTGTGGAAAAAATTGCGAATAAATTACTTTGAAGGTGTCCTCTTTGACGACACCCGTTGGACATTCAGCCTTAAAACCGCGATAAATTCGTTTGATTTCATCCTCTGTGAAGCGTGTAGCACGACTGAGGGCACTTAAGGAATCAGGACGATAACGTGCTGGCGTCTCAAATTCTTCTAATTCGGAATCTGTAAAGATAAATAAAAACAAAAAATTGAAAAAATTGTTAAAATAAGTAAGCCGTAGTGGAAATTGTAAATTCGAAATCAATTTGCAGAACATAAAAATGTAGTGACTTGTAAAAAGTTTACAACAAGTTCCAAAAAAAAAAAACAACAAAAAAAGAAAAAAGGATCTGAAGAAAAATTCAACAAAAATTTTATAAAATCTTTGACTTGTTTACTTAGCATCGAAAACTTGTAAAATATGAGCCAAAACCAAAATCAGCTCAAGTAAATATTTAAAGTTGAAAGTTACTTCTCCCTTTTATTTAGCAAAAATAATAGATGCGCCCTTAGGCTCTAGGCTAAACGGCTGCCATATGTGATTCTCTCGGCAGTCGAATTGCGTCTATTTTGATGTTAGATTTATTTGTTTAATTTTTTATACTTTAACATTGAATGCATCCATAGACTTACTCGCTTACTACTATATTTGCTACATATATATATATATATGAAGCTATTATTTTTCACTGACTCTTATTCATGACTTTAACACAAATAGACTTTTACATTTATTCGCCAATTTAGGAAGCAGTTTTTTTTTATTTTTCTAAAATATTTTTTCTTCTCTCGTTTTAAGTATCTCAGGTTTTGTGGGTTACTGGAGTGGCATAAGCCTGCAGACTTGCCACGACTTTTGCGAATTATCCTTGCTGTGTGAGGCTGTTTGCTATTGCGATTTTTATCTTTTCAGACATTTTCAAGTGTTGAATTGAGTAGCAAGCAAGTTTCTTAAGTATTTTTAAAATATTTTACTTCTCTATTTGGTATTTTTTACTTATCTTCTAGTAGTTCAGATGAACAGCAATGCTTTCATCTTATATTACTTTTGCCTTTACAATTTTATTTTGATTTAAGCAAAGGAACAGATGTCAGTGAGAATGTAGAGTGTGATTTTGATTTCTTCCGTAAAGTGTTAATTCCTTTTTAATCATTAAAATGAAAATAAAATTTAACAAAAATATAAGTAAATTTAAATTTAATTTAATTTTTTAATTAAATATTAACTAAATGCAGCAACTTATGATACGGATATTGCAATAAGCTGTTTCCTTGTAATGAAAGTACACTATTTTCATGGAAATACAGGGCAATTATATTTCACACAGCTTTAAATGTGGTCTTGGTTTTTTTCGGAAAGTGTTGTCCTTTTTCTTTTTTTTTTAATCCTCTTATTACAATGTTACTTGGACAGATTTTGACTCATTTGGTTTGATACGCCAATTTTTCATCCAGAGAACAACATTGTTAAGGTAGGTTTGTAGTTTGGTGGAAGCACGAATTGGGTCACATTCAACTGATAAAATAGCTGTATCGTCTGCAAAATGTATTGATAACACTCTCATCGGTAAGGGGAAGATCCGCAGTATATAGAAGATAAAGCATTGGTCCCATTATGCTACCTTGAGGTACTCCTGCTCCTATATCATGAAGTCTTGTAGTTTCGTTTCCATGCTTAATGAACAAGTGTCTTGCCGAGAGGTATGATTTAATAACTATAAAAAAATTTAGGGGTAGATTGAGTTTTAGTTTGAAAAGAAGGCCCTCATACCATACTCGATCAGAAGCTTGTGAAATATCTATAAATGCCAGAGTGCAATTTTTTTTATCATCTATCGCACTATGGATATGTCTATGAATTTGTTCTATTGTGCTATGTTTTTGGTGAAAGCCGAATTGATGGTCAGGGATGAGTCGATTTTGTTGAATAATCGGTGTAAGGTGCTTTAGAAACAGGATTTCCATAAGTTTTTACAGGATCGGAAGTAGACTTATTGGGCGATTTGATTTCACATCTTCTAAGCTTTTGCCTGTATTCGGTATCATGGAAATTTGCGCTATCTTCCACTGTGTTGGAATAAACCCCCTTATTATCATATCGTTAAGTAGATGAGTGAGAAATACAAGCACTTCTTAATAATTGATATTTACAATTATTTATATTGATTTGGATTAGTCAATCCGTAATTTTTTCAATCGAGAAGATCTTTTAATACACTTTTAGTACAATTTTTAGTTTTATTGATGAATGTGGAGAAAATAGGGCAATACTCGAAATTAATACCTGAAATTAACAGCTGTTTATTTGACTTGACAAACATTGTATGAATTCATTCGTTAGAGGTACGTATTAATGAAAAATATATGTCTGCTAACACTACTACAAAAGTGTAAGATTACTCTAAAAATGTTTGTTTTGTAACAAAACTTGCCAGATCGGAAGTAAATCTAGATTAAATCCTGATTTATTAATTGAAAACTCCATTAGTTTTTTTAAATATCTATCCAAAATATAAATCCCCTGTGAAATCGTTGGATGTTAATTTGCTAAATGGATACCATGAGGACCATAAAGTTTGTAAACCTCGTGGCTTATTCAGATGCGATAGCCGTCGCCAACTTGTAGTGCTGCTTTATCATTCTGTGACAGCGTCCATACCTCTGTGCTATACAGAAGCACAGTTAAGATTACCGACATATAGAAAGTTGTAAGAAAACGGTTTAGAGGTCGACTATTTTTAGTAAATAAGTTGACGTAGTACTAAACGTTCTACGAGATTACAGAAGACGCGCAAATAGCAGAAGCGCAGAGAGAGAAGTGCTACATTAGGTTGTAACCCGATAACGGGTTGTTATGACCAATCAAGTGAGTGAGTAAGATGTAAAGTTAGGACGAGCGATCTATAGAATATTGGAGAAAGTAGTGGAGAAAGTAGGTAGATCGTGTCTTCAATGAAGGAACTAAACTGGAGAAACACTAACCATGTTTAACAAATAAGAGTAGAGAAGGAGTGCACGCAGCAGAGGCACTTGAATAGAAGTATTGTGTCGGATCGGAGCGGAACCAGATTACGTATTGTTATGGTCAGTTTAGTATATTAGTACTAAATATAGACTAAATGCTGGAGTAAAGACTATGTAATTTATGGTCACGTTAAATGTGAAGCTATTGTTTTTTTGTAAATTGAGTTCGGTTACATTCTGCTCCGTACCAAAATAGTAGTTAAGGTGTGAAATTGACAATTGCGATATGACTTTCTAACTAATATGAGTTTTGGTCACGATCAAAAAGAGAATAAAAATGTCGTAACCATTCATCATATGACTAGCTGCATAACATGGCATTTAGTTCCTCATAACATTTCGTCTTAGACATTTCAAAGGGGAACGGACAGCTCTATAATAGCCCGCATAATCAGAGAGAGTGCTGCCAATAAAAAAGCTGCAGTGATACAACTGCAACGATGACAAATGAAATTACACAGGCTGATAAATGTAATTAATTGACAAAATGACGACACAAAAACAGATTTTTGAGCTTCATGCTCTAGACGGCCTCTTGATGAAATATGTCTCACACTGACTTTGGCTTTCCATTGCTTTATACTTCGCTAAGAAAAAAGTATACAGCTAATATGTTCCTACAAAAGTTTGCATGTGTTGTCAACAATATATGGTGTTCTTAATCGAGGTTTCACCTCCGTTGTTATTGGGATAATGTTTAATATGGTGGGTTACAAGCTTGACGCTTAATCTCATATACCACAAATTGAATTTAATTAAGAACACATTACAATTGGAAGATTGTAAAATTAATTAAGGATTAAAGAAATATATTAACTACATCAAATTTTATTTTGTGCAGTTTTAGTTACTTATCATATCCATAACTTTGAGTACGGAATTATTACTCAAATAATTTCAAGGAAATATCAACATTTTATACTATTTCTATAAGCACTTTGTTATGTATGTGCGTACAAGCACATAAACCCTAAGGCCGCTAATTATCACTTCAGTTGACTAAAATAATACATGTCTGTTTTCTCATTTTCATTCATATCAAGTAGACTACTTGAACTCCTTAAATTGTTTAAAATATTTGGGGCTCTCACCTTCACTTCATTTACCAAAATTTCCCACTAACTAAGCTCATCACTCAAAGTCAGCAGCACACAGAAAGGATGCGCGGAAAAAAGGATATACGTGCATGCGGTGGCGTCAGAGATACGTTTTGGAAATATAACAAAATTAACTTGAAACTCGTAAGGATAATGAGTTAATGACGTAGTGAAGCGTTATAAAAAATGCAAAATAAAAATTGGTGCACGTTGAAAAAGTGGATCAAAGTATAAAGCGGAAATTTTTTAAGTTATTTGATCGAGAAGTAAACCTTTATAGAGTGGAAAATAAAATTCAATGGAAGAAAAATTAAATTAAATAAAAAATGATGTAAAGCACACTCACTGCAAATGATTGGCATTCAAAAGGCGCACAGACTTTGAATACGGAAAACCAGTAAGGAAAGGGCAATACACAGCAGCAAATGCACTTAAATACGTTGATGCCAGGATAATGCGGAAAGTGCCCTGCCATTTTCGTTATCATTTTTCTTAATTTTTAGTATATTTTTTCATTTTTGGTTTTTGTATTTCTTATATACTTAAACGTATTTGAATACTGCTACAAGCGAAATGAAGTAAAATCTGAAAATTAACAGAGTGCAAAAAGAGCCAAAGGAACTAAGTTGGGCAAAACAGTAGAACAGACCAGCATAAAACGAATGCAGTTAATTAAATAAATTGCGCCTGTCAGCAGCCTTGAATGATTTTATAGTTTGAAAAATGAATTATATTTCAGAAAAGGCAAGTAAGCAGAAGCAGAAGCGAAATAAATAAAAGGTTTCAATAATAATTTACAAACTAATTAAAAAACAGAAATGCTTTTAAAACTTTTACAATTTATTTTAATTAAAATATATAACCAAAGCTGAAACTGAACTATTGTAAACTGAATCGATACTACGCAAACAGATGATATCACTACATTTGCTAAAGACAAGAAGCAGTGGGTGTTTTATACTAAACTTTTGGTAGAGAGTTTAAAATTAAAATATAACAAATTTTAATATTTTAATACATATGATGCCTGATCGAGTTAAATCCTTGAAAGGATATGAGAAC